GGATTTAATGATGTACTGGCCACTAGAATTGGGTTCATAGAAAGTCATTAAAAGAAATATTAATATATTAGGTGATACAATAATCATGAGTTGCCTAATCTGAGTTCGAATATGAATGAAACTCGAGAAGATAAATGCCACTTAGAAAATAAATTTCAAGAAAATTGAACCGATACTACACTAGCCGAAAAGCTAAATCCAAAATTTTTATCTGAACTATAAATTGGAATCCAAGCAAATACTCTCCTGTTCATGAATTGTAGACGATCTCTTGGCAGTTTCTGGAAGATCTTAAGTGAATCTAGAGCATATTTTTAGGTGAGGGTGGGTGTAGGTGGAAAGAGACAACACCCACACCTACAAACTGGAACAATTTAAATTTGTTTCCATCTATTTCATGCATCAGTTTTTCTATTTTGTTTGAACAAGTTGTAACAATATTACGTTTCGAAAGTATTCAAGCAATGTTTTCAGATTTATTCCATATGCAGGAACTGTTTATATATATATGAATGATTAAAATATATTTGTGCTGAGGTAGAATTAGTCGGAGCTTTCATGAAAAAAAACTCTTCTCTTTAGATTTCACTGGAAATCGGTCGATAAATTCAGTAGAAAAGACATGTTATAGTGCTTTTGCTGTTCTTGTTCGTCGAACAGTTTCTTATCGACTTGATATAATTTGACGTCATCTCCCAATAGCCTCTATTTTTCGTCCTAATGATCCTTGATTAGGTTTGATAAGTTTAAAATTACAATGACGAAATGAGATGAGGTCTTTATAAAGGTATCCCAATGAATTGGATGAAGGGACCACTATTTTAATAGAAATTTTATTTGCTACTTTTGAATATTTTTAAAAATTTTTTTCTAAATATCTCTTTGAATAGAAATATCATTTCGAACTCATAAATTTGAAAGAAACAAACAAAAGATTTGATAAAAATAATTGACATTTATTTTTCTTTATTTGAAATTTCAAATGAAATTGAATGTTGAATTCTACTAGATGGTTCAAATTACTTTATTATCGGATAACAAATATGATGAAGATGAAGATTGTTTTCTATTGACATAATTTCAAACAAGCAAGTCAATTGTTTTGGTTTTTTTCTTATTGAAAGGAATGAATAAAAATGTCAATGTGAAATCAATCTTTTCAATAATGAACGATAGTCAACGATTATTATAATTGAAAAAAAAGAAGATTTTCAAATATTGTTAATCTACATATAAAAATTTAAAATTGGACTTTCTTTCGTCAGAATTTGTTTTCATTTTCGAAATTTTTCTCAAAGAATTTTAGTTTGATGGAAAAGATAAAATTTTCTTATTTATTGATTTATGCTGTTTATTAATTTTTGAAATAAATTTAATTTAATCTTTTTATATAATTGAAATGATTAGATTAAAATCTTCTTAAAATCTTTATTTCAATGAACAATGGAAAACGAGTTCAATTGATCAATCGATCTTCTTCAATCGTTATTAGGAGAATCTTCTCTTTTTTAATTTCTTTAACTATAACAATAATTGATGTAAAAGAAAATCTATTGAAAATATTAAGTTTGTCAATAAGAATTGGAGTTGATCAAAGAAAAAACTTGTTCGTCTGCAATTTTTGGTAATGTTTCATTGATTACTCTTGTTTCCCAATATTATTTCTGTTTGAATTATGAGCAAAATAACCACTCTATTTGAAAGTTCTTCAATCAATGCTGAAAAAAGTATTTGTTCAATAGACAAAATCAGTTCTTATTTCTCTTTGTTTATTGTTGAGAAGAACACTTGTTTGTTTTGATCAAAAATCAATTGAACAATTCAATGAAATATTCTTCAAGTTATTTCTAAAGAAAATCTTTTTTTTTGAACAGAACATTGAATTTTCTTTTCTTTAGTAATTTAAATAAATTAGAATTAGATCTTGCTTATAGTTCATCAATTTGAAAAACTATCTTAACAAAATATTTTTCTCAGTTTAATTCTTTCGAAAGAAACATTGATTATTTCTTTAAGAATATCATTAATAATAATTACAAAATATTTTTTTTGCAAATTATTTATTATTCAGGAGTCCATGAAATTATTTAGAAAATCTTTTCTTCAATTCGAACTGTTTTTCCACAAAGTGGAGAAATTTTGAAAAAAAGAAAAAGATTATTTATTTTCTTTTTTGATCAAAATTTTATGTAAAATAGATATGACAAAGAATTAGAAAAGAGTATAGGTGTGAGTGTTATCGAATCGAATATTATACCCACACCCCACACCCACCAGCATTTTTGATGAGTTACAATTGTATAAAAAACCTTCTTCATTATATCGTGATGCATTAAGAAGAAAAACAAGATAAATATTACAACAGAAGGACGATGAACGACCAATCAAGATGTGCGACATTAAGAATTGTTAGAACGAAACCAATGAAAAAAGTAGTCAAAAAATGAATACTTAAAAAAAGAGAAAGTCAGAGAATAATTCATCAGCAATATTGGCTGCCATCTAAGTGAGATCAATTTTCTTCAAAGAAAGAACGAATCCACGAAACTATTTCTCTAGAGATAACGTGCTTGGCATCGAAAATTAATTATATAATGACTTTAGAGTGATTTCACAAGTGAATTGATTGCTTACACCGTATATAATCGATTATTTTCTTTTTTTCATTCTGGGTGGATCACAGTTGGCTTTTAGTTTTTTTTGCAAACCATATTTCTAAGTTTATAACTTTCTAGGTGCATGAGCTAGTGAGATCATTCCAACGTCATTTTGTATAGCGTGTTTTACCGTATCTTTTCATCCTAGAAACAAATTTACAAGCACGTGTTTCACTATAGAAAAATTAAATATTTAAATCGAATCGGAAGTTCTCGAGCACCTTTTAAATGTCTATATACATGTATATAGTGTGAAGATGGAGCATTTCAGCATAGAAAAAGAATATTCTTTGTTTAGAAAGAAGAAAGATAAGATAGTTGAAACTTGCCAACGTACAATATTTGGACACCATAAATAATAATCATATGTTCGTTTTGTTATCACATAATCTAAACACTCGTGACAAGCGAAGAAAAAATCAAAAGAGCGTCTGCCTATCAGCATACAATGACGAAGGACGAAAGCCTCGAAAAATAAAATTACATATAAACACTACCGGTATTTTGTTCGTTCTTTCCTAACGAAGAAAAAAGATATCGAGAAAATCGTATGCTTTTCGTTGTAACTTGGTAAATTCCAAGTAATATGTCGAATGCTTTTTTTCTATTGAATAGCTTATTTTTTCGATAATAAAAGTGAAGAGTGCTATTCAAAGTATCATCTCAATTGTGAGCAACTAATCTTATTTTAGAGGGTAAGTGTTAACGAGAGAACACACAGAACTGATAAATCGCTTTTGAGTCGGGTCTATGTGCATCATGTAAGACATAGTGAGCTATGAATATCCTGAAAAGAGTTTGGCCCATAGTTTATTGCTACCGCGATACTGCATTTTGATGGTATTTTTTAGCATAAAGGCCGTAGTCTTCCTCAACAACAGTAGAGCAACTGAGTTACGAGTTTCGACTTGAAACTGCGCACAGAGATAAGCCTCAATGAGAATTGTTTATTATGAAAGTTTCAGATCTTTCGATTGTTTGTAATCTGAAACAAGAGCACCAAAATCCATTGATGTATATGAGCAATGTGAAAGCATGCTTTACTATAGCTATATCCTAGGATAGGAACAATCGACAGATCTGAAACTTTCATAATAAACAATTCTCATTGAGACTTATCTCTGTGCACAGTTTCAAGTCGGAATTCGTAACTCAGTTGTTCTACTGTTGCTGAAGAGAACTACGACTTTTGTGCTACAAAATACCATCAAAATGACGTCGGAAAAGTTAGCACCATATTCATCTTTATCTATCCCGATTCGCGATATTACTTGGGTTATTTCCCAAACCCCTTGGGTTAGGTACAGAATTTAATTCTGTGTCCAATGGTGCCAGTTTTGAGGGAGATTAT